CTGGGGCCAGTCAGGCTCCCCCCCCCATGTCCCGACCCCTCCCCTGGACCTGGTGCCACAAGCACCTTGACTTTTCCCGCCACGTGAACCCCAACCGACTGTTTAGTCCACTGAAGCCAGCACACAGTAGGCGCTCAATAAATGTTGAATGAACAAATGAATGAGTCAAATGAGCTTCTCTCTCTGGCGCACTGCAGTCTGCTCCCTGGGACCTCTGGTCAGTTGAGAAGGGTCTGGGGCCTGCTGGAGCTGTCTGTGGTCCCCTCACCGTGGGGAGCTCCCAGGCCACGGTACCCAGAAGGGGTGAGTACACCCTGGCACCAGACCCTGGGTGTTGGGGTGAGGGGCCTGGCCCCCCAGGTTTAGAGGGTTCAGGGCCAGGTCAAGTAGGTTGGGGTTCAGAGCCTCCTTCCTGTGGAGAGGAGCTGGGCGGGCCAGGCCAACAGGTTTGGCGGCATATCCTAGCAGGCACTCATCTCCGGCATAAAGCCCACTTCATGGAGCCTGCACCTCACCAGTGCTCGACGGCTCCGTGCTGATCCCAGCCCAGCGTCCATCCAGGCCCGAAAACATGGGACAGCCGCTGGCTGTGCTGCTCCTGCTGCTGGTGGGGCTCGGTGAGTTGGAGGGGTGGAAAGGGGCCAGGAGTTGGCGGTGGCTTCTGCAGGCCCCACTGCACTGCCTGGCCCTGGCAGAGGCCCCCATGCCTTGGGCCAGGCCTGGGGCTGCAGACAGGCTGCTCCTCCCCGCCCCAATGGTGGGTCCTCAGGGCTGGCAGGAGGGTTCCAACGTCCCCCGGGGAAACCTGGCGGGGAAGGCAAGGTGGGGGGGGGCACAGACCGTGTGGACCGCAGCTGTGACCCGGCAGGGCCTTCGCCCCTTGTGTACCCAGCTCAGGGCTTGTCCCCACCTTCCTCTTGTCTCGGCCTCCCTCTCCACGTTGCCCAGATGAGGACATGGAGTCCGCGTGCAGGATCTGAATTTGGGCCTGCTGGGCTCCAAGTCCTTGCACTGCCGTCAGCTGGGCCGGGGGAGGGTCGGCCAAGCCAGGGAGTCCCTGGAGGCTGGTTCAGGGCTTGGCTGAGAGGAGGTGAGGGGTGCAGCTGCAGAGGGCCCCACCCCCCCTCTGACAGGGGCAGGCGGAGCACCCCATGCCTCTCCCAGTCCTGGGTCAGGGTCAGTGGGTGCCCACGGGGCCCCACCTGCCAGATGCCTCCCTGCAGGGCGGGCCGCTCTGCTGAGGAAACCCTCCCGCATTCCTGGGCCAGCCTGGCCACCCTGGCAGCCACCACACTTCCCTGTCCTCAAGTTACCTCCCAGGGTCAGGCCACCCCGTCACCTCAGACTGCAGCTCAGCCAGGGCCCTGAACTTCCTCGTTCTCTGGGGTGGGGGCGCCAGAGCGACACCTCTGCGGGGACCCAGCCTTCCACTTCCAGTACAAGGATAATGGGCTGCTCTGAGCAGCCCCTCTGCACAGGGGGCGTAAGTCAGGGGCAGCCCCTGATGGGGTGAGCAGTTGAGGCCATTGTCAATGAGCAGAGCTGGACCCCTGGATGCCGCGCTCACCCCCAGCCCAAGGGTGGCCAGCACCCACCAGGCCTCTGGCTGTCCCTCCTGGATCCTCAGGTCTCACTCAACCCCAGTGGTTCCCGGAGCAAGGGAGGCCCTGAGCCTGACACCCTAGCTGTTGTGCCCAGCCCGTGGGGAGCCCCCCGAGGACTCCAGTTCATCACATTCCCCTGCCCCACCAGCCCCCCACCACTCATTCTCTCCCTCCACACACCTTCTCCCGAGCTTGAGAGACACAGACACAGATGCTACCTTCATGGAGCTCCAGGGCCCACAGGGAAGACTGGACACTGATGCTGACTCCAGGGTGAGGTGGGCGGAGGTCTGCGAGGCCCGTGGGACGGCAGAGCTCAGGAGCGGGCATGGGGCTTCCAAGATGGACAGTGCAAGCAAGAAGGACTTCCTGGATGAGGGGACATTCAGTCAGGCCTTGACCTCTCGATCAAGATTAGGACGTGCAGAGATGGGGAGGTAGGGGCATCCTGGCTGGGGGATGGGGGACAGTGAACACCCACAAGCCTGCATGGTAAGCAGCCGCAGAGGGCCGTGTCGGGAAGGACCCAGCTGCCCGGGAAGAAGGGATGGCCGTAGGGACACTTGGGCGGGGAGCCCAAGACAGGGCTCTTACGAGCCTCAGGGGAGGGAAGGAGCTTACAGCTGGCAGCTGCGAGGACAGAGAGGCATTCTGCAAGCAGTCTTTAGGCCTCGGGAAGAGCGAGGGGCTGGGCGTTAGACACCCAGACTCAGACCAAGGGGAGGGGACAATCCTCCCGGGGTGCCTCCTTAGCACCAACTAATGGGCAGGACGTACAGGGCAAACGTCCTGTCCCCCCGCCCCCACCCAGCTGGGCACCCCGACTGAGCGGTGGCCAGGCCTGTCCTGGGCCCTCAGCTGTCCCCTCGTTTCCTGTCCAGCCCCACCCTGTGTCCTTATCTCCCAGCAGCGCTGAGGAGTGCACCCCTCCCAACAGGAAGAACGAGGATCCCATAAAGGCCCTTGGGTGCCCCACTCCCTGTCCCCACAGCCCTCGACTCCACGGACTGGGTATCTTTCCTGGTCCACGAAGACGTGCCCGTAGCGGGGGCCCCGCCCTCTGGCCGGGGACGTATCGGGGCTGAGGGCAGAGGCTGAGGGGGATGAAGCGTGGAGGGGTCGTCATGCCCAGCGCCGGGCGGATCTGCCCTCGGGAACAGACACACTGGTGCGGGGCGCTGGGAGGGCGCTCTTGAAGGGTGGGCGTTTCTAGGGTGCTGCTGACTCTGGGCTGGGGTTTGGAGGCTGGGGCGGAGGGTCCGGGAGGGGTTAGGAGCCAAGCAACAGCCCCTGCCTCTCGCCCACAGCTGCATGGGATGATGGACCCTGTTCCTGGTCCCCCACTTCTCTGCTATCCCCGTCCCCCGGCATGACCCCCAGGGGGCCTTGGGCGTCGCCTGCAGAGCCCACTGGAACGCCTGGAGAGGAGTCAGCTCTTGGACTCTTCCCTCTTGGGAAGGCTGATCCCCAGCAGCCTCTGGGCCAGCCTCCCGACCCCCGAGACCAGGGAGAACCTGTGGGCTGGCGCCGCAGCCTCAGGCCTGAAGCAACTTAGGGAAGGGGGCATGCCCACTTGGAGGTGGACTGTGGGAAAGCCAGTGGGAACGCCGGATGGCTTGGGCCTCTGCACTCATTTGTCCCCGGGGAAAGGCAGACCCTGAGGTGCCAGGCCTAGAGGCTCAATCCTCCCCCAGAGCTCCCAGACAAGGAGGGTGTGGGGTGTGGAGGGAGAGGCCCCGTAAGGATGAGAAGGGAACATACAGCCGCAGAGGCCCCGTGTGGGCATCTCTTGACGACATCTGTGGGTGGCCAGGAGCCGCCCACCCTGGCAGACAAGTTCTGGCCCATGGCCCAGGCCTGGAAATAAGGCAGAGCCGGCCCTGGGGGAAAACGGAGGGTTCTGGCCCCTCCCTTGAGGTCCCTCTGAGGACTGTCCCTCCTGTGTCAGGAGGTGAGTGGGGGCACTGACCATGGCTGGCCAGACCCAGCTGATTGTCCTGTCCTCTTTCAGGGGACCAGAGCACTAAGGCAGCAAGAGGTAAGCATTCAAGACCCTGGGGGTGGGGGAGGGAGCCAGGGACACACACCCAGAAGGAACGATGAGTGCACAGGGCCCAGGGACCCTAACGTGGGGGAAGCTGCGGCTCAGGGGACGGGAGCCCCAAAAGGGGGGCGGTCAGACAGGGAGCAGGACAGGTGCAACAGGAGAACGGAGGTGGAGGCCTGGGACATCATCGTGAGCAGTGCCCACCCCGGCCAACTCCCTTGGCCAGCCGTCCTTCAGAGCACCCACTCTGTGTCGGGCCCTTTGCCTGGGGTATCTCAACCACTGCAGCAGAGGCTGCTCCAGGCCGGGGTCTTCCAATTCTCCGGGGTCCCCGGACAGGCCAGGGGCAGGAGGGCAGAGAACCGGGCAGAAAGCAGAGGCTAACATTGGGGCTGGAGGCTGGGCGTCAGAGCCACATGACCAGCCCGTGAGCACCCCCTCACCTGCCATGTCTTCCCAGTCTGTGGGCGCCCGAGGATGCTGAACAGGATGGTGGGTGGCCAGAATGCCCAGGCAGGCGAGTGGCCCTGGCAGGTCAGCATCCAGCACAACGGAAGCCACTTCTGCGGGGGCAGCCTCATCACTGAGCGCTGGGTGCTCACTGCGGCACACTGCTTCTCCAAGTGAGTCGGCCCATGGCTCCCAGCTCCCCGCACCACACTCCCCCCTCCTGTCCCCCCACGTGCTCCCTCGCCTTGGGCAGAGCCCCGCACGGCCAGGGGCAGCACCACGGACAGCACCCGCCCTCTGGTGACCACAGTCTACCTCCTGGCAGCCTCGCCCAGTGCAGGCCGCCTTCCTTGCCAGAAGCTCCCTCCAGGTTCCCCAGGATAAGCTCCAGCCGCATTGCTGCTGCCGCTGGCCGGGAGGGCCCCTCCCCCTGCTGGTCTGGCCAGCGAGGTGCCCTCCCACAACTGGGGCCCATCCCTGCCCCTGCAAAAGCTGGGAAGCTCCTCCCCTGCCCTGACCTTCTTCCATGCCCAACACACCTTGAACCCAGGACACTCTCCTCCGGGCTGAGACTCTAGTAACAGACAAGCCTGAGAACTGGACAGAATGTCCCTTCCTCCCCACCCCGCCTAAAGTCACCAGCAAGGGGCCAGGCCACCCAATCCCCACAGCCACACCACAAGCCCCCTGGCCCCGACCCTTGGGGCTTCCCCAGTGCTTTGCCGGGTGCCTCTCCACAGCCCTGTCATCCTCTGACCCCACACCTCCCACTCAGAAGCCTAGGCACAGAGGGCGCCACAGGGATGGGCCCCGCTGCACCTGTCGGGGGGGTCCCCCTTCAGCTCCCCCAGTTGGCCTTACAGACGGGGACTGTCCTGAGTTCCAGAGGAAGAAGCTGCGTCACAGGGAACTTGCTAGTGACTTGCCCAGGGCCACACAGAGGCCAGGGGTCGGGGTGGGAATTCAAGCCAGGCCGTCTGGCTTCGGTGTCTACATGGCACGGTGTGTCCCCTGGAGATGACTTTCTTGAAGGCAGTTGCCCAGAAAGGTGCCGAGCAGGTTGTGGGCCAGCCCCCGCCCTTTCCAGCGTGGAGGGGCTGCCCCACGCTGCTGTGTCTCCCAACAGTACCTCTGAGACCACCCTGTACCGGGTCCTGCTTGGGGCACTGCAGCTGGTGCAGCCCGGGCTGCATGCTCTGTATGCCCGGGTGAAGCGGGTGGAGAGCAACCCCCTGTACCAGGGCATGGCCTCCAGTGCTGACGTGGCCCTGGTGGAGCTGGACACTCCGGTGACCTTCACCAACTACATCCTCCCCGTGTGCCTGCCTGATCCCTCGGTGGTCTTTGACACGGATATGAACTGCTGGGTCACCGGCTGGGGAAGCCACAGTGAGCAAGGTAAGGGGGCCGCACAGGGACAGAATAGGGGACGGGCCTCAGGAAGGCCCAGGGTCAGGCACCGTGGCTCATGCCTAAAATCCCAGCACTTTGGGAGGTCAAGGTGAGAGGATTGCCTGAGTTTACAGGTTTGAGACCAGCTTGGGCAACTTGACGAGACCTCTTCTTCACAACAAATCAAAAAATTAGCCAGGCATGGTGGTATGCACCTGTAGTTCCGGCTACTTGGAAGGCTAAGGCAGAAGAATCCTCTGAGCCCAGCACGTCGAGGCTGGGGTGGCCGTGAGGGTGCCACTACACTCCAGCTTGGGTGACAGAGTGAGATTCCAACTCAAAAAACAAGCAAAAAAAACAGGCCCAGGGCAGCTTAGGGGCCACTCTGAATCCATAATCCTCCAATCCTCCTGGTGATGCATATCAACAACGGAGGGGTGGGGGGTGGGACAGACCCAGAAGGAAGAGTGGGGGGAGGGGA